CTGGACTCCGGCCAAAATGGAGTTGGGCGATGTTTGTCTGGGATCGGGACACCGAAATGGCGATCTTCGGCTTTCCGAAACTGGTTGCCACAATAATTAAAAAAAAAGCGGTGTCGCAGTACCTTTTAGACCTCGAAACTTGCAATTTGTTACCCCTGATCTATGGTTTCTCAGTCTGGGACTTTTTGATTCAACCCCCCCATGAATAACAAGAATGACGGTGACAACAGCAATAATACTTGTGAACTTGTTCAAAGAGCTTTGTGTCCTTCGGATAGTTGGGTTACGCCACCCCCAACCCGCCAGCCCCCCCCCCCCCCCAACCCCCCCAACTCCCCCCCAACTCCCCCAACTCCCCCAACTCCCCCAACTCCCCAACTCCCCAACTCCCCCAACTCCCCCAACTCCCCCAACTCCCCCAACTCCCCCACTCCCCCAACTCCCCCAACTCCCCAACTCCCCCAACTCCCCCAACCCCCCAACCCCCAACCCCCCAACCCCCCAACCCCCCCAACCCCCCAACCCCCCCCCCCCCCAACCCCCCAACCCCCAACCCCCAACTCCCCAACTCTCACCCAACTCACCCAACTCACCCAACTCACCCACCCACCCAACCCCAACCCCCCCCCCCCCCCCCCAACTCACCCAGCTCCCTCACCCAACCCCCCAACTCCACCCCCCCCAACCCCCAACCCCCCAACTCTCCCAACTCACCCAACTCACTCAACTCACCCAACTCGCCCAGCTCCCCCAACCCCAACCCCCCCAACTCCCCCCAACTCCCCCAACTCCCCCAACTCCCCCAACTCCCCCAACTCCGCCAACTCACCCAACTCACCCAACTCACCCAACTCACCCAACTCACCCAACCCCCCCAGCCCCCGACCCCCCCAACCCCCCCAACTCCCCCAACTCACCCAGCTCCCCCAACTCCCCCGACCCCCCCAACCCCCCCAACTCACCCAACTCACTCAACTCCCCCCCCAACTCCCCCAACTCCCCCAACTCCCCCAACTCCCCCAACTCCGCCAACTCATCCCACTCCCCCAAACCCTCCCCCCTTTTCGGGCTTTAAACAAAAATGAGCACCACAGCGCCCGCCAGGCCAAGGCGCCGCGGCCGCCAGCGGCAGCGCCTGGCCCGCCAGCCACCGCTCCGGGGCGTTCCAGGAGATGGTGAGCACCACCAGCAGCACGTAGTTCCTCGGCCGCCGGCCCCACGGCCACTGGCTTTGGAGCTCGGCTCAAGGGGCCCACAACGTGGCCGGCCAAAAAGCATGGGGAAACGCGGGAAAAGGACGAACTCCCGTCTGGTGGGCACCCAGATGCACACAAGTGAAGGGCCCCAACAAGTGGTTCAAGGGCCCCTTAAAGTTTCAAGTTGCATTCTCGGGGAAGCCGACACGTAGACCATAATTTTGGAGAAGCCCAGTGAAAAGCCGCATCCCAATCCCCAGTTTTCTGGCTGAAACGCTGAAACCTCCACAACTTGGCAAAGACCTCGTAGCTGTTGAAGAAAAAAGTCTCTGGGAACAAACCGAAGTGAAAACCCGATGGCCAAGAGCCTGAATGCAAACATGTGCCGTATCTGGCATCCCCGCAAGCTGATATATGGTCTAGAAACGAGAAAACAAAGAACATCAGGCAAAAAATCACCATTCCTGGAAACGGGATCGACCTGCTCTCACGCATGCCGCGAGATTTTGTTTTGACAATCGACTTGACAGCACAGCTCGCCTTTTCAAGGCATCGAAATCAATCTCCGCCCCCCTTGCCGGAGCCTTTGAAAGCGCGGCGCGTTCAGCGAGGACCTTCCGACCTTCCCAGTGGAGCTGCCCCGCCTCAAATCAGCCACATGGCCCAAATGGCCCAAATGACCTAAGACGGCAAAGTATTGAAGGTCCTTGTGGTGTACACAGCCTTGGCCGCGCTTCCATGGGGACAGGGGGTGCAAAAAACAGGCCCAGCGGAGATGTGGAGCTATCGGTATGGATCAAATGTATGGGCTTAGATTCTTCTGGGTAGGCAGTTCAGCTTCACAGCTACGCTGGGCTAGTCTGTACTACGATGCGGCAAGCCACCACACAGCTCAGACCACAATCCGCATCTCCGGCTCTGTGCCCACTGTGCTGTTGCTGCAAAGGCCAGTGATCTTGCCGCCCCATGCGGCCGCCACAGCCTCCGCGCGATGAGCCTGGTCCGCCGGCAGCCAGGTGAGGTCGGTGTTCAGGCAGTAGACGGGCCACTTGCCGCAGGCGCCGCGCTGATCGCACACCTCCGCGTCCCCGATCTTCTCTTTGCCCAGGCCGAACAGACCAAAGTTCCGGTCAGCGCCTCCCTTGGAGAATGTGGTCTGGAACTCAAAAACCGTGGCGCCCAAGAAGAGGCTGGAGTTGGAGGCATACTCGTGCATTGCCTTGACATCATTCTTCAGAATCTCGTGGGGCTGACTCAGGTCTCCAAAGGCGCCGATGAACCAAGGCTTGTTTCCGAAGGGCGCGTAGTTGTTGGCAATGGTGTCCTTGACAAAGCTCCACGGGTCATGCACGTTCACCCCGTTGACCCACCTCTTCTCGAACGCCTCCGCCACCTCTGAGGCGTCCGATTTGAGCTTGTACTGGGCAAGGGACGGATCCTTCACCACCGCCAGCATGTCCTGGAAGCCGAAATAGCCAGGGCACTTCTTGCACTTTCCGTCCACGGAATCCGCCACGGAGAAGGACCAGGTGGTGGTGAGGTTCACGTAGCCGGGCTTGATGCCCGCCTCCTTCTCAGCCGCCAGAAAGCCGTCCAGGGCGGACAGCACAGCCTTCACCCGGCACCAGGCGGCTTTGCCCGGGCAGCGAGGGTCGTTCACCAAGAAGTCCGGCTCATTCAGCAGAATCACCGAGCGGACGGCAGGGTGCCACTCCTTGTCCTTGGCAAAGCCCTGGGCAAAGCCGTCCTTCACCACCTTCTTGACAGTGTCGTAGCAGTCAAAGTTGGTGCAGTTGTAGAGTGCCAGACTGGTCTCGATGCCTGGCATGACGCTGAGGCCAAGGGAGTGAGCTCTGTCAAGGAAGGCGCCGTGGTCTCCGTTGTAGCCCAGGGAGTTGTACATGCGGACCGTGTTGGCACCCAACTTCTGCATGACCTCCAAGTCATTGCGGCCCTTCGGGCCCCACTGGGCCGCGTAACCTGGCAGCATGGCGTCCTTACTGGGGAGCTGATCCTTGCAGGGTGCCTCCATGGTGCACGGCAGCGGGGCGTACGCCACCCCACGCACCAGACCAGGCGGCAACGGCGGCGAAGGGGCAGGGCCCGAGCCGTGGTTTCCGTTGGCCACTGCCACCGCGATGCCCACGATCACGGCGATCAAGCACAGCAAGCCCAGGATCAGGGGAATCAGGCGGCTCCTGGTGCACCAGGTCTGCTGCACAGGCTCCGCGTCAGCTGCTCGCGGGGACATGGCGATCACCGGCGAAATCCCTAGCAGACTCCGTTGAATCGCTGTGCAGCTTGAGCAAGGCTTCCGGGAAAACAGTGAAATACTGCACTGGCCAAACAAAAGTTGCACGTCTCTACGTTCAAAACGACTACAGCTCTTTCCCCCTGGAATCCTGCATGATAAGACCTAAAAAGGTGTGCGGGGTCAATTTTGGTCCTGGGAAGCCTTTTAAAATAAATGTCAAAAGAACGTGAAAGATGGCCATCAGTTCGATCCGCGGTTGACTGGGTGGTGTCTGTTGAAAATGGGTAGGAAGCATCCACTTTGGGCTGTCTACAGCATGGAGAGACTAGAGCACCACTATGGGAAGGCTCGTGCTACAGTTCGTACTTCCCAGACAACCCCTCCGAGGGCCAAGCCACTTCTAAAGAAGCAAGCGATGGTGTCAGCGATGGGGCTGCCCAACTCTTGCGAGTCACCCAAGACCCTCGAGACGTGGCAGACTTGCATCGGGTGTGGCAGTGCCTTCTTAGCTCTCTCCACCCGGCTCGTGGCCTCCTTCCTAACCCGCCCTAGCCCCCCCCCTCAAATTCGAAAGTAGTGTCAGAGACATGACGATGATGGTCAATGCCCGGCCCAGGGTGCTGTTCAAGCTCCGCTCCAGCGCCGACTTCCTCGGCAGAACCAGGAACATGCGAGCCTTCGACCAAATCCCCGAGAAAAAGAAGAAGAAAAAAAACTTCCTAAGTTGGTGTTGCTCAAGCTGAAAGTTATCAAACAGGCTTATGTGGGATCCCAAGTCGACCTTAAAGGACAAGCATCGGCTTCGCCACGAGAAAGTCGTTGGGAATGACCTTCTTGGTCCTGTCAAGCATAAGAGCATGGTCAAAAAAAGTCCGGACACCTCGAAAACAATAAGGTTGGGCCAAATGCCACGAAACAATTTAAACTGCAGAACGGCCACGGCAGCGTGGGCCCAGGGGCTGCCCCAACTCCCATAAACCGCAAGGGCGAGGTGAGCAAAATCTGGCAGGGGTCTGAGATCGCAACAGGTACAGGTGGGGCTTGCAGTGCTGATGCCGGCGTTTCCCTTTCACTTTCTACAAAGGCTGAATGACTGGCAGACAAGTGAAACACCGCTGCACAACGAACATTTGCTATGTAAAGATGCCAATATTTCAAATTAATGCGCCGGCGCGGTTCCATCAAGAGTTCCCAGAACGCAAGGCTTGCTGTGGACGCTCACAACTTGACTGCCTTGTACAGGGTCGTGCTGTGTTGACACTGGAAGGCCGCCAGCACAGGCCTCAAGATCTGCCCCGTGTGACGACAGCTAATGGCAGGTGAAGCCTGTTGCTTCTGTGTGCGTGTCTCAAAATATGCAGGAACCATCAAGAGAAAAGATGCTTTTAAAACCAAGCAAAACAAGAAACACCCACCCACCCACCCAAACAAAAATGGACCAGCCTACCCAATCCAAACACGTTGTCCTCTTAAGAAAAAAAAAAGAACAAAACAGCCACCCCACCACCCGGCTTCGGCTTCCACCGCTCCCCGGTCCTGCCCGGGGACTGGGGCGCGGCCGGGCGGTTGGGCACCGGCACGCCCTTGATCCCCGTGAGCTTCGAGAGCTCCATGTCGATGGTCTTCTGGCGGTAGGCATCCTGAACGACCCAGGCCGGCCGCGGGTGGCCAGTAGCGCGCACGCGCCGTCTTTTTGGGTAAGCGCCGTGTTTTGGGCTACATACATAGATATATATATATATATATATGTACCAATATCGTTATATAGATACATATATACAGATATAGATACATACATATATATATATATATATGTATGTATCTACATATATATATATATATATATATATATATATATATTCATATATGTATATATTTGCAGCGAGCCCTTAAATGTTTGTGCAATTTGGGGTGTGTCTTTTTTAAGATCGGACCCTCCAAGTTGGCGGTTGTCCCGGTTGGTGTCGCTGGTTTTACAAAAGGGTGCTTGCCCTCAACAAGAGACGCACTAAAATGGACCCTGGTTTGGGGAAGCCCAAAGGAAACCAATCATGCTAGGGGACCCGTATTTTGAGAAGCACACCCATCAGGACTAAAGAAAAAAACACAGCTCCCACTTCCTAGACGAGTCCTTGGAGTGGTGGAAATAAAAAGGGAAGGAACCAAAAGAAAGCCAATGTCAATCCAAAAGGAGTTGCGCCTATTGAAACGCACTCATTCGGCCCTATTCAACAAGGAGTCGCAAGCCGTTGCAGAAACTGCATGCGCCACTTCGCGGCATTCTGTCACACGTGTCACGCCATCCATGAGGAGTTTTGTACACTTTCGATTTTGACTTGAGAAATAGGCCTTTTCCCCCCAGGCAAGTGGTTTGGCAAAAAATCACGCCTAAGAGTGAAGTGCAGGTGATTCTTCAACAAACATACATTATGAGGATCTGCTCTTTCAGGCATTTGCTGTCAGCTTGCCACTCGGATAAGTCAGACTTCAGCGACATGGTGTTCGAGGGCAGGGGTACCATACGATTCCCAGTTTGTGGTCCGACATGAGCAAAGTCTGACAAAACCATGCACCAATCTAGCGATCTCGGACAGACTGTCTTGCTCTGAATGGTTGAAATACCTCAAGCTTTGATCAGCACTCCATGTCAGACTCAGAGCAGCGTCTCCTGCTTCTTCTGGTTCTCCTTCTTGATCCTCGTCTCCTCATCCTCGGAGGACGAGGACTCATCCGCAACCTGCAGAGCCAGCACGGGCATGGCAGCAAATCGGGGCGTTCAGGGCCAGTTTGGTCAAAGCTAACTGCTTGAAGTTTGGCGCAAGGTGATGGCTGGAGTGGGCGAGGGTTGTGGCTGGCTCCTACGCTTGCACTGCCCAGTATCTTGCTGACCTTGTTAGTCTGCTTTCATCTGGAGCCACAAGGTCCGAGCGACCACACGCAACAGCTGCAAGCAAAAACAGTGTGACAACTGCACACCGGGGGGGACATGGGTTTTCTCTCAAAAATGTGGCCCCCAAGCGGGGGGCTTTCTCTGGGTTCCCCTCAAAATCGACCACTGGGTTTGCCCTTGAAGCCGGGTTTCCCCGCAATGATACACCCACATGGCTTTGTCCCTCAAATTTCGTGAGCCCCCGACCCCACAAAGAAAACAAAAAGGAAGGGGGGGGTGGGAAGGTAAACCAACCCAAAGGCTTCCCAAACCACACCCGCACGCCGGCACGCGCGCGCGCGGAAGGCGCGCGGCGGGTGACTAGGCGGCTCTCCGGCGGCAGCGCCGCGCCGCACCGCATCTCCGGGCCGGACCTGGCGATGCAAACTCATCACCTGGGTCTCCGGGCTAACGAAAAAAACACGATCGTCGGGGTCTCTTTGGTTTGACCCAGTATGGGTACGAGTTTTTTTTTGGGGGGGGGATCCCTGTTTAGGGCGAGAAAGCAAACTCAATGCTCCCAATTGCGAAAGAGACCTGGTATTGAAAGAGTTCACCCAGAAACATGAGGGGACGGATCTCCGCATCCATTCTGGTCACTCAAGTGAGCGCACAAGACCCATCGATGGGTTCTACCAACGTGCGTGCGCGCTTTTTGGAGGGTACCCTTTTGGATCTTCAAGTGGAAATGAATTAGAGCGATTCGATCTGATTCGACTGTCATCTCAGCCCGATTCCACCCGCCACATCTCATAATTAGCTGGATGCGTGAGCCATCTCTCAACAAACAATAGTCAACCCAAAACAGGATCACTGGACAAAAGCACAACTTACCGTCGACCAATACTTTTTGGGCAAGGCAACATCCCTGCATTCTTACTCGTTCTGGCCTATGTTGGCTTGGCTTGGGCCAAAGCTCCGGCCCAGTTCAACAAAGTCGCATTCTTGTCTCGAATTTGATTAGATTGAAAAACACCCCCTGTTTACGCCCCTGCAAAGAAATCAGAGTATCCATTGGCTCTTGCGAGACTCCTGGCCTATCTAGTGGCGGCATGCTGCGGCGAATCTCGTCTGGCTGCTCTAGCGGAAGGATGTCAGGCTCCTTGCAAGTCACACTGGTCTGAGATCCAGACCTCACTTCCTCTGCCTTGTTAAGTGGCGGAAGACTTGAGAAGAATGTGAACAGAGAGGCCTCCCATACTGTTTCCTGTAGATAAGTGATTCCACAGTGCAGAAAGCCGGTGGAACAGGGCGAATCTCAGCAGATAATATTAAAAGCAAAGAACTACGTGCAAGGATCCTGACCCTGCACCGGTTTTGTGTTGCGTCAGCACGAGGCCAAAACTCCACAGTGTCTGCGTGGGAAACCTCGCCTCACGTGAAAGGTTTGGGCCAACCCCAAAGTCTGTGCCACAACGAGCCTCAACACTGACGTCGCCTGCGCGATGCTGTCTTGCCGTTTCCTTCGCAACTAAACTCTGCCGGGCCACTCGCTGCCGCGCTGCCTCAGCGTAGCGCCGGGCGCTGAGTCTCTGCCTCAAGTGGCCATGGGTCAAAGTCCAAATCGTACCCCCAGTGAACATCCCAACCCCACTAAAATAGGCTCTAAAATAGGTGGTGCACCTACCCCAAAATGGTACCATTGGTTTTGATCCACAGCCAAGTGGCACGCATCACAGCAATGCGGTGCAACTTCTGGGAGCACAGTTTGTAAGCAAGTTGCGGCATTGTGACTCCGGCGAACCACGTTGGGCCCCCTTTGCACGTTTGAGAAGAACATGGAAGAATGTGGGGAAAACAAGGGTAGAAGACGCTCAAGCTACATGTGCATTTTCCTGCGGCTCAGACTGGCCGGCCATGGCAGCTTGACTGTGAAAAGCTCCCGAACTATGCGGAGAGTGACGTGAACAAAATACGTGGAACAAATACCTCACGCGTCGGTTGTGCAAGCATGCAATCGCTTGGGTATGGGTCTGTCTTTCTTGAGGGTACCCCTTTTTTGTGGTTTGAAAGGCACACCGTATGCGCCCAAAAAGCCAAAACAAAACTGTACAATGCATCCGCAGCTGCTGTGCATCGATCTCTCGCTCATCCCGCGCCAGTGGCAGCTTCAAAGAATCCCTGAGCTGAGCACAGCGCAGCTTCGGCAGGATAAAAGTTCCAATTTGGACCAAGGCAGCTGGAGCCTTTGACAGGGCAAAACTTCCATGACAAAAGAAGCAATGCGTTTGTTTCAAGTCCTGGCATCTAGCAAATGGCAGGGCTGTCCCCCAACACAAACGCTTGCTTGCTAGCAAACAAACAAACAAACAAACAATCAATCAATCAATCAATCAATCAATCAATCAAACAAACAAACAAGACCACACAGGCTGTGTTGCACTCTGGCTTGGAGCATCTGATTTGCACCAACCTGCTGACTTGTACGAGCTGAGCCTGACGAACAGCCCAACCCAAAAAGGAACAGTGTGAAAAGGAGCCCTTACCTATTTGCACCACAAAAAAAACGACCTTTGCCCAGCCGATGGCAGGCTACCAATGCTGGGCCGACTTGTCCAAGACGCTCTGGTGCACCCTGGCTGGGCTTCTCCATGTCTGGCTCGGGCTGCAGGTTGACGCCTAGCCAAGGCCAGCTCAGGGCTCTCCGTCTGCTGCCTTTCCCGCCTGCAGTGGTCACCACCGCATGCTGCGCCCAGTGGGTGACCTGAAGGTACAGCTCCTGCCACGAGAGCAAGGCTGGGATGGACCTGGTTGCCCAAAGTGGACCTCCCACGCAAACGAACCAATCCAAGGCCTCACACCCCTGCTTTCGTCCAAACAATGTCCCGAAAGCAGCAAGCAGGGCAGCGGGCAACATGAGGAATCGTGTTCTGCGCATCGCTTGATGTGCCTGTGATTCAGAATGGTTTGCTCTGCTTTTCTTGTTTCCAATTGTGGCAGTGTCTACAGCAACTGCACTTCAGCTAATCAAAAGGGGCAGCTCCTTGGTCTCAAGGCGGGCAAGTGTACCGAGTTTCTTGGCTTTGTCGCCAGTCACCCGGCTGTGGCACAAGTGATATCGGTGCGGGCCAAAAAAACTGGTAATACGAGGTGGCAACCGCGAGGTGAGGGCCAAATTAGTTGGTGTGATGTTCCTGGTGGTGATGTTTCAAGGGGGCATATGAGGAACGCTGCACAGCTTCTACCTGCACATGCCGCGGATCGGCACCCAACGCACTCCGCTACAGCAGGGATAATCTTCATTCGGTCCTTTTTGGGCTTGTTTCAAAGGGAAACCAGAGGGAGAACACCCATTTAAAGGTTCCCACCGTTACACAAACTCATCTGGTAATCCCAGTTCAGGAACGCTGGTCAGCTCCAGCGATGCAATCCGTTCAGTTTTTCCTCTCCCCACTCTGAAATCACCTTGCCCCTAGGTGGTTTGGACCTTCATTTGGCGTCAAAAGGAGCCAAGATTCAAGCCGATCACCAATTCAAACCGCCAATTCATGGTCCATATTTGTAGGCGTTGAATCCCATGGCCTCTGCCCATTCTGAAGCGCTCGAGGCGAGGTGCGGGATCAGCTTGGGCGCCTGGTGCTGCACTGCCACCAAGAGTATCGGCAGGGCCAGCCAGCGCATAGAACCTCGGGCGCTCCGCTCGACGCACAAGACATGTCCAAAAGGACATACACTACGAGCTCAGATACCCACTCATCCCTTGCTGGAGTTTGACGTATTTACAAATCTGCGGATTTGCCAGGCCTATTATTCAAACGTAAATGTCCTCAATGCGGTTTTGACTAACATCGCAAAAACCACTGACGGGCAACCAGCAAATCTGCTGAGACAGCGTATCACATCATGTAGCAGGGCAGCATGGCAGTTGCTTCTGTACTTTGAACCTTTCAGACGTGAAGGTGGAGCTAGAAATGAAATGACTTGCGATAGCTTGCAGATTGAGTTTGCTTCCGGCAGCACTCGACTCAAGTTGTCGACAACGAGCCTTGAAACATCTTCTGCAGCCTCTACAGCAGCCCACCCATCAAACACGTGTCACAGCACACGAATAGAGAAGAAGTAAGCCTGCTTAGCTTGCATGGCATAAACCTGCTGTGCGATTTTTTCGTGACGTGCGCTAAGCGGATTGTGCAACCGAAAACGCGAAAACGCGAAAACCACGAAAACGGCAAGAAACACGAAAACCGCGAAAACGGCGAAACCCACGAAACCACGAAAACGGCAAAAAACGATAAAACCGCGAAAACGGCAAAACACGCGAAAACTAAAAACACACGAAACCCACGAAAGCGGTGAAAACCGTGCAAATGCCAACTTTCGCGCGACGTAACCCTTTGAAAAGGTGGCAAACTCATCCCATATTCTGTCTATCCATTTATCTATCTATGTATCTGTCTATCTATCTATCTATATCTATCCAACTATCGATCTATCTATCTATCTATTGATCTATCTAGCTGTCTATTTATCTATCTCTATCTCTATCGCTATCTAAAACTCTATATCTACCTATCTCTATCTATCTCTATCTATCTATCTATCGATTTATATCCATCTATTTATCTATCTATCTACCTATCTATCTATCTATCTATCAATCTATCTATCTATCAATCTATCTATCTATCGATCCATCTATCAGTTTGTTTATCTATCTATCTATCTATTGACCGTATCTATCCTATCTATCCTATCTAGATATGATATCTATAAACTCGTTCATACCTGCCCTATTTAACTCATTGTATCTTATCTAGACTGTCCATCTCATCTATCTGATAAATATCATACGTCTTATCTACCTTGTCTATCATATCATATCTATACTATTTACCTTCTCTATCTTACCTACCTTATCTTATCTGATCATAGATTATCTTGTATTATGCTATCTTAGCCGAAAATATTTCCTATCATATCCTAGCTTGTCCTGTATCTGCTCCTATCAATCCCATGTTGGCCTATCTTACCGTGTCTTCTCCTGTCTTGGCCTATCTGTCCTATGTATCGATCGATCTATTTGTCTATATATCTACCTATCTCTCTGTCTTATCCGGTCTTATCCTACCCTCATCCTGTCTTATCCCATCTAATCCTATTTTCCTATCGTATCCTACCTTCTCCTATCGTAGTCTATCTTATCCTGTATTAGCCTTACCATCCTATCTTATCCTGTCTTATCCCGTCCTATCCTCTGTTATCCTAGCCGATCCCATGTTATCCTACCTTATCTTGTATGTTGCTATATGTCCCTACCTTATCCTATCTATTCCTATGTATCTATCTATCGATCTATCTACCAACCTACCCAGCTACCCACCCACCTACCTCCCATCTATCCCATCCTACCTATCACATCTATCTTATTGTATCTTATCTATCTGATCTATCTTATGCATCGCATCGATTGTATCTACCTATCTACATTACCTACCTTGTCTTTTCTTATAATATATTATCCTGTAGTATCCTGTCTTAACTTCTCTTATCCTGGTTTATCCTATCTTATCCCATCGTATTCTATCTTATCCTGTCTTACACGATCTTATCATATCTTATCTCAGATCACCTTATCTGATCCTATCTGTCTATCTATCTATCTATACATGTATAATCATATGTTAGCCTTTTGTCATCCTCTCATATCCTGCCTTATGCTGTCTTATCCTGTCTTACCATATATGTTCCCGACTTATCCTAGCGTATCCTACCTTATCCTATGTATCTATCTATCTATCTATCTATCTATCTATCTATCTTATCCTATGTATCTATCTACATATCCATTTATCTATCTATCTACCTAGACACCTACCTATCTATCCTATCTATCATGTCTATCATATCTATCCTATCTTTCCTATTTGTCCTATCTGTCGCATCGTATCTATCTCACTATCTTGTTCCATCTTATCTACATGATCTATCTTATATGCCTTATCTACCTTGACTATCATACCTATCATATCTATACTATCTATCCTATCTATCTTGCCTACCTTATCTTATCTTATCACACATTGTCCTGTCTTATCTTCTATCTTATCCTACCCAATCTTATCCTATCTTCTCCCATGCTCGTATCTATCGATTTATCTATCTATCTATCTATCTAATCTAATCTAATCTAATTTATCTATCTATCTATCTACCTACCTACCTACCTATCTTATTTCTATTACCGCTGGGGCTCAAAACACAAGGCCATTAAGCATACTAACAACGGAAACTTGCAGCGAACACCTGCGAACATCGCGAAAACGCGAAAACCGCAAAGCGCGAAAACCACGAAAAGCGCGAAAAGCGCGAAAAGCGCGAAACCGTGAAAACCGCGAAAACGCGAAAACCAGAAAACGCGAAAACCACGAAAACGCGAAAGCCAGAAAACGCGAAACCACAAAAACCGCGAAAACGCAAAAAACACGAAAACCGCAAAAACTGCGAAAACCGGAAAAACACGAAACCCGCGAAAACGACGAAAACGCGACAACCAGGTGAAGACCACGAAAACGCAAAACCGTGAAACGCCAGCATGGGAGAAAGGTGAAAAGGCGCAAGCTTCAAGAACAAAGGCGAAAGCCTTGAGAGCCAGCAACGGAGCTGTCTGGTTTTCTGGTTTTCTCGGTTTTCTCGGTTTTCTCGGTTGTCTCGGGTTTCTCAGTTTTCTCGGTTTTCTCGGTTTTCCGATTTTCTCGGTTTTCTCGGTTTTCCTGTTTTCGCGGTTTTCCTGTTTTCGCGGTTTTCCTGTTTTCTCGGTTTTCCGGTTTTCTTGGATTTCTCGGATTTCCGGTTTTCTCGCGCGAATCCGGTTAGCTCCGTGTCGCCCAAAACGAAACTTGATCATAGACATCAATCCGCGGCAAGGTGTTGATTTTCCAGCACTATTCGAAAGCCCGAGCGCGCCAAGGCGCCCGTGATAGATGGCTTACGCCCAAGGCCCTGATGCGAGGCCTACCATCGGCGCCTATACGCGCCAAGTGCACCACCCCGAAATGTCCCCTTCGAAAAGTTGCAAGTTGCTGGGGTCCATTGAAACTGTCGCTTTCGGAGGTTCCAGAAAGGTCTCCAAAGGTGCTCTAGTTCTGACGTTAAGGCCGCTCGAAACCGAAACAAACAAAGAGCTGCCTTCATCTCTGTGACCAAATGTGCTTGAGCCGCGTCGTATGCAGCGCTGGGCCTGCCATGGAGCAAGAGGCAGTGAGCTTGCTGAAAGTGACAGCACAACATCTGTCAGCGGTCCACAAGGGTGACTCCTGTGGAGAGTTAATGTCCGGCAACTGGTTTTCGGACGATAGCACAGTACTCTGAAATAGAAAATGGGCCCGATTGTCCTCTCCCCGACTCGCCCTGCCAAATGCTATGGAAGCTGTACTTTGGCTGACCAAAAGCTCCAGACTCAAGCCAAATAACACCAAACTGGTTCCAGAATGGCCGTCTGCACTTGGAAACTCGGGTTGCCTGAAAAGAGCCCAGCACTCAATGGGAACTGCCCTCGAGTCCAGTGTATATGCAAGCACGAGGTACAGGCGACCGCTTCAAACATAGCACGCAACTCAAATCGGAAAGCGTGGTACATTCTTGCCTCTCCGGTTGCAAACTGGCCAGCCCTTGCCAGAAAAAAACTTTGTTTAAAATGACTCCGCGTCCCTGAGCTCTTGGCTTTCTGTTGCGCGGTTGGCCGATTCCCTCCGACGCCATTTCAACAAGATTCACCGCACAGGCCAGCCAGGCATGGGTTGACATGGCTGTGGGTGAAAGATAGGTACCCAAAATGGCACCCTGGTAAATGGAAACATGGACAAAAACGTGTGGTCTCCTGGTGGTTTAAATTTGACCCATACCCACACAGTTTCACCACTTGGAATGCCTGGTAACGAGGTTGCTAACTTGTGTGTACACCAGATCTCGCTTGGTGCGGCGGCATGGTAGGCAAGTCCCTCACGAATAGGTGGGTGGCGTCATGTTCAAAGGTGGCAAAGTTCGATCAAGCTACCCCAGCCAAATCCGTGAAGCCGTGGGCGATTCAAGCGATGGTATGGCTCCATGTTTGCCCCTTTGCGTCCCTTGCCATTTCTTTATTGGCAAATGACCCCCTTGCCATGTCCCGTGTGACCCAATTGTCAAGGGGCTCCAATTACAAGGACCACATGTCATCAGTTCTTCCACCCCGCTGAAGTCCAAGCACCCCTCAGTCTGCCAGTCTGGGGCTGAGCACTGGAAGGCTCCTGTGACCAGCCAAGAATGACGTCTGGCTGTGGTTGTCAAAACCCATGGGATCCCATTTTGGGGTAGGTGCACCACCCATTTAGGAACCTATTTTGGTGGGGATTGGGATGTACGGGATTGTGACCCATTGCCATCTGAGTCTCGGAAAAACTTGCCAAGGCTTCACCAAATCTCATATGCGAAGGAGAAGCCACTGGCCGAACGCCTGATTGATATCTGTGGCAATAGCGTTTCCTTCCCAAAGTAAGATGCATGCCGGCACCTGGCACTCCAAGAAATGAGGCCTCCAGCAATCTCATGTTTCTCAAGTCCTTCTCTGAAAGCGCCATTGCCCAAACCTGATCCCAAAACTACCTGTGACCTGTGTACACTTCGAGGAAATCTCTGGAAACTTG